GGTAAGACGCCTCTGACGTTGTTTGTGGTTCAGGAGTGGCTTAACAAGAGGAATATGACAACTGTAGCCAAATTCCTTGACACGTCTGTATGTGGTGGCTTTTGATGCCTTGACCCCAGCCTCAGTCCATTCCTTGTGAAGTTCACTCAAATTCTTGAATCGATTTTGCTTGACAATCCTCATGAGGCTGCGGTTCTCTCGGTTGGTTGTGCATCTTTTTCTTCCACACTTTTTCTTTCCACTCAACTTTCTGTTAACATGCTTGGATACAGCACTCTGTGAACAGCCAGCTTCTTTGGCAATGAATGTTTGTGGCTTACCCTCCTTGTGAAGGGTGTCAATGATTGTCTTCTGGACAACTGTCAGATCAGCAGTCTTTCCCATGATTGTGTAGCCTAGTGAACCAAACTGAGAGACCATTTTGAAGGCTCAGGAAACCTTTGCAGGTGTTTTGAGTTGATTAGCTGATTTATTTAATACACGGGTTTCACAATTTGAGTTGAATCACTGAAATAAATGAACTTTTCCACGACATTCTAATTTATTGAGATGCGTAAAGGTCTTTCTTCTGCAAATGAAAGCTAAGCTTCTTGGAGGTTGCATTCAGACGGTCTGAGGTGTCTAGGAGCTAGATTAAAACACTTAGCCTGCCTCTAAAGAACACTGGCAACAGTCTATCCGACAATAATCCATTTAATGTAATTAGGTCAGCATGTCAGGGGGCTCAATCGGAGTGCTCAAATCGAATGTTTATACACACTTACGGTGCTGCCAAATGCTGTCTAGTTAGGGATCTGCATGAGTGCATCTCATGAAGAACATGTCTGGGTAATATATTGAAAATCAAAAGAAAACAATATATTCCAAGAAAATTAAACTTTTTTTTTTTTTTTTACTCTGTGACATTTTCATAACAAAAGGCAGTGCCTTTCCTGTTTATTGTTCTTGATGAATCTTAATTTAAATGAATTTAAATAAAAAAAATCTTAATGGTTCTAAATATAGGCTTTATACAAAATGTTTTTTTTCTAATCATTTTGGAATGAAATGACATTCAAAACTCAGTTACTGCTGAGACACCGCCAGAGGTTATGTTTTATGAATTAAATTCCATTTTTGACGCAAATTCGTGAGAAGTTTCAATACTCATTTCTGAATGTGTTTGTTTGAAATATCTTGCATGTGGGTCAATTAAGTGGCACATTTCTTGTCAAGATCTAGTCTATTAAATAATTCAAAAAGTCATAAAAAATGCAATTCATACAGAGGAAGAGAATCTCTCCTATGATTATCAAGTTTTTAATTTCTGAATTAAAAATCATATTAAAGTCAATGTGTATATATATGATAAATATTTGAAAAACAGATAGATAGATAGATAGATAGATAGAATATTAAATACCCTATTTGTAAATTTTTTTAAGAAAGGGTAAGTTTAATTCCGTTCAAATTAAGTAACCCCAAGAAAACTTGATATTAATTATTCAAAAACTAATTTGTGAAAATAAAGATTTGTACTCTCATGCGTGTTTAATGTGCATGTGATATTTTATTTTACTTGTTATATGATGCTTAAACTACTTTTTAAATACTGCCATTTCGATGATTCGGTGATTAAATTAAAAAAAACTCAAATGTATAAAATTGAATATAAAAACCAATTTGAATACACGTTGAATACATTTCTAATCACTTTTTACATTTACATTTGAATTGTTTTCAAAAATATATATCATTTTTTATCATTGCCCCTTATGCTCTCATGTGCAAAACATGTCCATGTTCACCCCACATACCCCTGCCGTATCCTTGCGTGTGTTTGGCAAAGCTCCGGACCACCGCGTCCACTGCCTCTCTCAGAACCGCCGGGTTGCTAGGATTGGACAGACCCAGACCCGCCGACATGTCTACCGAACCGAACCCGCTGCCCATGATACCGGACCCGAGGCTGTGGAGCTGGAGGGGCGGCGGTGGTGGCGGCGGCCCCGGGGAGGCAGACACCGAGACGTGGGAACCCTGAGCCGAGGAAAGAGTGCCGGTTACACCGGGCCGCAGGGACCGCAGAGTCCCGGTCGCGCTCGCTCCGTATCCGATACCGGGCTGTAAGCGCTGATGGCGAAGAGACTCCATTGTCTCGAAAAGTGATGCAAAAGAAACCAACACAAAGGGAACGACTGCCAGAAACGATTGCAAAGCCGATTAAAGATGCATATGACAAACATAAAAGTGTTTCTCGAAGGTATGAGCTTTGTTAAGCTGATTGGACAAAAATGTTATTTACTGTTTGGGGCGTAAAACTGCCATAGGGAGGAAAAAGGAGCAGCATATGCTTGTGTTTGACCAATAGATGGATTCACGCTGTGTGACGTGGCACGTCCGGGCAAACCTTCCCAAATGCACAAATCTCTGTCACCAAATCAATCTAAACATCGCCGTTTTCAAATATTTGCTGTACATGTTTATGCATATTTGTGTAGCCTAAATAAAGCCCACTTTGCAAATCTCACACGAACAAAGATACTAAAACAGAAAACTAGAGCCATTGAGAACAGCTACTACTAAACATGACAAGATGGTCTACTTCTTAGGGCAAGAGACCACAGATGAATAGATACAAATATGAACTAATTGATATCACCACTTCCCCAGTTGATTAATCACAGCACATAAAGACCTTTTTTTTGTAGGCCTATATACACGTTTGGTAAAAAGTTGTTTGAATATGCAAATGCTGCACTTTCAAATTAAAAATGCACTTTTCTTTAATCTTCCGTAATAAAAAAAATCCGAAATTTTGATGTCTCATAAAGGCCTCATTGTTTTATAGAAATAAAGAGCTGCACTTTTTCTAGAGTTCAGAATAGCATAAGTGTTGGATGAAGCAAATTGTTGAACTAGATGGGATTTGGATATGTTCACCATTTTGAGAAAACTGCCTTTAAAGATATGTATTGTAACTGAAATGTAAATATGCAAATGAATGCAATCGGCTAGATGTGTAATAAAAGAAACACTTAATGTTTTTTGCTACTAGTCTGAAGAAAGACATGTTATGAAAGCAAAATAGCTTAAAATCTTAACATTTTTTCATGTGTGCACAAATGTGTGTTTTTGCCTAGTGTCTTGTAGCCTATATGCAACAACAGCAATAGCCTACAACATATCAGATATTCAGCTGTTGAGTCTGGTTAACAAAACGTGCCATGATAATAATATGTTGTTATTGTTTTGTCAAGTATTTTGGAATAGCATTGGAGTTGGAGGAGTGACCTATGAATTAATCATTAGTTTTTTATTGTTACGAGTGTTAAATGACAGCTCTGGCATCGATTGAATCAGCAGGTTCTCTCTCTTTTTAATTTGATGTATATATTATACATGTTTATACATGTATAATATAAATCCTCTGTGACAATAGCACTCTTTGTACTTGATGTAAATTTATGTGATCCATTAAAAATGAGTCAGTTGCTTCCTTCTAATCGTTCATGTTTCTCTGTTTAAGCCTGTGAGTGTGTTGCCATTTTTTCTTTCATTCCCTTGGAGCACTACTGATGAAAATTTGTGTTGAGCTAAAGTCTCAAGGGTGATCATATGTCTACCATCTCCTTCTGCATGGTTTATAACAAGCTGCTCTTTGCTGTCAAATAAGTAAGATTGAAATATAAAACTGGCAAGGGCTCTGGAAAGTTCACTGAAAGTATGCACAAAGAAACGGCACAAAGCACTTGAAATGAGCTGCAGTGATTACTCATCGTTCTGTGGTTCCTCAATGATCCAGCTGCCTGCATTGAAAAAGTTCCCTCTGTAATGGCAGTAGAACATTCTGGAAGTCTTATGGTCACCATATGCTAAAAAGGAGCACTACTGAGGAGGCCTGGCTGAATGTTGCTGTTATGAATAGAAGATCCAGACATAATACAATATATAGAACAAATAATACAATATTCATGTTTTTGACAGTAGTGACACCAAATATTATTCAGACATTTAAGCTACACCTAAAATAGTTTATTTATTAGTTTATTAATTCATAGTTTAATTAGTTAGGACAAATATCAACCAGTGGGATTTGTTCTGAAAACAAATGATGCACCCTTTGCTTATAACTATAACTTTATGTATCATTTTACAATAAATATTTACAAATATTTGCCATCGTTGATGGCAACACTTTTTTTTCTGTCTCTCGTAGGCGCTTCTGCTACATATGAAGCTTTGAAACATTTATGACTTGCCAAGTCACATCATGCTCTTGTTTCGAAACATTCTAAAATCCCCCATTCACTGCTGATGGCATTGATCTGGTGAACCCATGAACAGTGTCAAATATTTAACTGATCTCGATTCAGTTTTATAATTCCAGTTATTTATTTATTATAATCCATAATAAAAGAACACCGATTTTACAGACCCTTCATAATTAATGGCATGGCATAATGGTATATTATTTGTAAATTACATTTAAAGGCACAATATGTAAGATTTTATTATTAAAATATCCAAAAACCACTAGAACAGTGTTATATATTTTGCTGACTTCTGTACTTACATTATCCTAAATGTTTCGAAGAATGTTTAAATCCAGAGAAATAAGCAATTTTAACTAGTGACACGGACCATGTCTA